GAGAAAAACACGCGTAACTCACGTAAAATGGCCCGGCGGCGTGAAATTTCGACGGAGATATTGAAAGAGGATGCTGTCGGACCAATCCCAACCATTTCCAGCGATTTTTATTTTTTTCATTTTTGGCAAAATATGCAAAGGCTATAGCCTTTGTGTTTTTAGCGAAAATTGATGGGTCGGATTTCGATGGAAAAGTAGTGGAATTGACGAATCGACAGGGATGAACCAGGGGACCACAAAACTACCTTAGGTTCCGCCAGAAACCACCCCTGTCCAGAGAAACTTGAGTTTTAAGGGTGGTCCTTTGAATCTGGCGGGCAGCGTACGATGGGCTGCCTATCTCGCAGGCGAACCGAGAAGAGATCCAAAAACAGGCGTAACTCACTTAAAATGGCCCGGTGGCGTGAAATTTTGACGGAGAGATTGATAGAGGATGCTGTCGGACCAATACCAACCATTTCCTGCGATTTTAATTTTTATCATTTTTGGCCAAATTTACAAAGGCTATAGCCTTCCTATTTTTAGCGAAAATTGATGGGTCCGGATTTCGATGGAAAAGTAGTGGAATCGACGAATCGACAGGGATGAACCAGGGGACCACAAAACTACTTTGAGTTTCGTCAGAAAACACCCCAGTCCGCAGAAACTTGCGTTTTAAGGGTGGTCTTTTGAATCTGGCGGGCAGCGTACGATGGGCTGCCTACCTCGCAGGCGAACCGAGAACAGATCCAAAAACAGGCGTAACTCACTTAAAATGGCCCGGTGGCGTGAAATTTTGACGGAGAGATTGAAAGAGGATGCTGTCGGACCAATAGCAACCATTTCCAGCTATAGCCTTCCTATTTTTAGCGAAAATTGATGGTCCGGATTTTGATGGAAAAGTAGTGGAATCGACAGGGATGAACCAGGGGACCACAAAACTACTTTGAGTTCCGCCAGAAACCACCCCTGTTCACAGAAACTTGAGTTTTAAGCGGTGGACTTTCGAAACTATGCCTACCTAAGGAAGGCGCACGACTTACTAAGAACTCTGCTGCAGAGGGTCTGGCACCACTGCTATTTAGACAGAGCAAGTGAAGGGGAGTCTGCCTGACCAATCAAAACCAACTCCAGCAATTTTCCAACATGTCAAGATTTTAAAAGACACTTTTCATGATAACAAATCTGCCTGAATTTTGACGGGGGAGGATTCAAATCGTGAGGGAAGAACCAAGGCACAATCCAAAACCATCAAGAAACGTCCTTTGATGCAGCAAAGCGTGACCAAAGGGAGCTTCTCATAGAGTCTGAACAGAGACAAATTGGACCAGAGTTAGTTACTGTCATGTCAACTCACCTATACTTTCAAGTAAAATGACTCAATAGACTTCTTTCCTCATGCCTCAAGAACATTTCCGGGCCGTGTTCCTGCAATCATATTAAATGGTACTTTTAGCGCTATTTTTGCTTTCATTTATTACTCAACAATTATCAAATATTAATGTAACTTTACTCATACTATAGTGACTCATTTTACCAAGGTATTTCTTTCTGAGGGAAAAAAGACTTCCACAGACAGAAATACCATGGTGAATTTGGAAAATTAATCCATATTGGAAGTGGACTATTCAACCACCTCCCTCAGGAAATCAAGAACATGAAAAAAGAAAAAAGATAGTAAGCTGTGCTAAAGAGGTGTTTACTAATAATGGAGCCCTTCTCAATAGAAGAGCTTTTTAATAATGGTTTTACTAACTTTTTGAATAGTACATGCTATCGTGTATATCGACATGTAATGCTCTCTGTCAAACTACATTACGAATAAAAATGAATAAATAATTTGGCACTGGACTCATGTTTTAAGTGTACATAACATATCCCTCTGCACACTACCCTGAACAAATTACCTACAATATTTAACATACTGCATGGAAGGGAGGAGTGTACCCATTCAACACCTTTTCAACAAAGCCTACACTGAGCTAAGTTTAAATAACGGGCATCATTTACTCTGCCTCCAAAAATATCCTAAAAATACTGTGTAGCAAACTAACCTCCTACAATATAACCGGAACAGAACAATTAAATATCCTGGACACCATAAAGGGCACTATACCTTGAGATTGACAGAAAAACGCGACGCTGCCTACAGTAAAATTATGTTCTGTTGCGGTTTAAGTCCTATGATAAATTTGGGTAGGTATAGACGGTATTGAGCAGAAGACGCCGATTTTCGCTGTTTATTTACTTTTCCATGAGGGGGGTGAGGAGAGGCGGGGGCGGGGACGCGGCACGGCAGTCTGGGCAATCTTTAGCAATGGCTTGATTTAACTTGACTTACCGGGGCCCAATGTTTTGGGCGAGCGAAAATTAATTACGGCAGTTCTGATCAGACGAGGACACATCGTGGCCCACACCTTCTGAGTTCCCGATCCATGCAACTTGTAGCCGCAGTCCTAGGGCTCGGGGAACCCCAGAGATGTGGCCGAGGACGCCTGGGGGTAGGCAAGCCCGCCTCGCTTGCCAATGGCAATGGTGGTGGTGTGGGCTACAGCGCCTTCAACTTCAACTTCAGGTAATCCACTCGCGAGTTCTGGCTCGTGGGCCTCGAGTTTGCTGATGCGTGTGTCTGGGGGTCTGTGGCCTCTGTTTTCTGTGTGGACCTTACGGAGTCGCTGACGACAGACTTTTACCAAAAACAGTTACTCGCAGATTTTTTTTTTTTTTTCCATGCGTGGTCGCCTATTGAAATAACTTGTAGTTGTAGAAATAACTTATTAAAGTTGTTACCGTTGCTACATTCAGTGGTAATAGGAGCCCCTAAAGTCATTAGATTACGCTGTCGGAGAGTCGGGGCATCATCTTCTAGCTCAATAATGTGTTGCAAAACATGGGAAAAACTGCTGGAAAATATTGGAAAGTATAGAACTGAGTTGAATTAGCACATTTATTGTTAATGAATAAGACAATCTGCAAGCTAAAGGTACATTGTGTTTAAACTTAGCATAATCAATATTTATTAAATCTTCAGAGTTGAATCAGAGCCAAACACTTAAATTCAGGAAACTCATTAAGTAATTGCCACACTGAGTCCTGAACCTGTTTACAGCAAAAGAAAGGAACTATTTGAACAAGAATAGTGTATACAGGATGTAAAATCAACTAGAAATTTTACAAGAAATTACTTGAAATTTTGAAATACCATGGACTAAATAGTTATCATAATCAAGAGGCATTCAACATGCAATAATCTACAAAGTTACAATTTGTTGAAAAATAAAACCTGCTGAAGCTTAAAGGCTAATGTGCAGACTATGATGTGCAGATTGTTAACACCTGCATTTATTGAAGTGGAGACCACTCCATTCTCTACCCAAGAGAGTAAATGCAGACTCTTAGCCCACATATGCACAAAATCAAAGCTTCTGTTACAAAACAACAAATAGATTCAGAAAAATCTAACTGCTTGATAAAAATGTGGCACAGAGTAAACTTTAGATTTAAAAAAAAAGTCTGGTTCTGCTGTCTGAAATGAGGGGTAATAGAAACACACTGCAGGTGTAGAGCAATCAAGAATAGAAAGAGTAAACGTACTGTACAAAGGTAAAAGCTAAGAGTTGTACTAACAAAAAGAAATGTATAATATATACATAGTTCCAAACATGAGAAAGTTCACCTGCATATTGTACAAGACATAGGCGTACACAACCTAATAAATAAGAGGCAACTAAAGTATTTATGGACCAGACACAGTGCAACAGTGTAGTTTCTCTGGTTCATACCACTATGAAAACAAGTGAGAAAGTAAACAATGAGATCCAATAAGATTTAAATGGATCAAGTCCTGATATTAACTATACCTACTATCTAGTGTCTAGTGCCTTCTTGTAAGTGCAATATATAATTTCATAAGCAGCACAAATTAGTGGGTGTATGTTAAGCAGTTTCCCACAATAAAACATTTTTATATTCACCTCAAACTCTAAATGTTTATATACACAACAGTAAGATTAACAACCAAGGCCTAAAATAAAATATAAGATAGATATAATATTTTGAGGCAGGTACTGAATTGATTCATACCAGCATTAACCTCGTTTCTATTTTTCTCACAAGATTTACAACAATTTATAAAAGTTGTACTACATAACACACAAACACAATGCCTGGGCAAAATCCACAATACAGGAGTGTAGTGACGAAAGGAATGTTTGCACTGACACCTTCATGAAGTCCCATCGCCACTTACATAAAAGATACTTGTAAGAAGACAAGTCAGACAAGTGTATAGAACTTCAAAATTAAAACTGAACCGAGTAAAACATACTACAAAAGTCTCTTCCCTTGTATTTCAATAGTTATTTACAGATAAGATCTATACATCTAATGAAAACTAAGAAATACAGTGACAGAGGAAAATAAAGAAAGTCACACAAACAAGGGACTAAAAATAGCTCTCGACTTCTCACTACATACAAAGCATTAAATATGGATAGAAACATGAAACAGCAACTCAGGTCTAGTGTAGAAAATTTCCCCACAGATTTCACATTTAAATTCTTCCTTTGCTTCTTCTTTGACTTGTGCAACAGGTTCAACCTTTACACTCTCTACATAAACTGTTGTTTCAGCACTAGCAGCTGCTTTCTTATCTTGCATTCCATTCTGAGTAAGAAACTTGGGCTTCCGTATGGGCTTTCGACCTCGAACCTTAGGAGTCTTTGGCTCTTTTGGAAACTTAGCTGGAGGGGGTTTGGCTGGTCTCTTTTCATGATGGTAGTTGACATTTTTAGTTCTTGGCCCTTTTCTTACTTTAAATGGATCCTCAGTTGTTGAAGGTGGTGGTGGTGTTGGTGGTGGGGGCGGTGAAGAGAGCAGATGGTCTTCTAATGGAGGTGGAGCAAGAGGAGGAGACATCGGTGATGGTGATGACTTAGTTGCTTTAGGAGGCCTTACAGGAGTTCGTTGAGCAGCTGAAACATTCTTTATTCTTGGCCTAATTCGGATAGCACTTGGTGACCTCATTCCATTATCATCTATTCTTGATTGAGGACCGAGAAGAGCAGGTGGCTCAACCAGACTGGAGCCGGGTTCGTGCAGATCAGCTGGAGGTCCTGTGTGTTTCATCTTACGCTTCTTCTTTACTTTGGTCCTACCTACCATGGAATTGATGGTATCCATGGCAGCATCAAATGTTCGAACAACTGAATCATAATCTGGTTCAGGCTTAATTAATTTTCTACCCCCTGTTGTGGACGCATCTGAATCAGGATCATCAGGTGAACCATCATTACCATATTCCATTTCATGGGGCTTTAGCCTACGTCGCCTCTTGTACTTGCGAGGAGCAAGAGCAGGTTTACGATGACGAGCAGTATTTTCATCTGAATGCTTCACCAAGTGCAAACAAAGATCTTCTGAAGTAATAAGTGCCATTCCACAAACTTTACAAACATACCCTCCACCGCCTGCTCCATGCTTTGGGTCGGGCCCTGAGTGATGAGCTCGGATATGTTCCCTCAACACAACCTAGAGCAAAGAAAACAAATACCCATTATGAACTGCGAACAGTGTTTCCACAAAATGCACAATACTACCATATGATATCTTACCCTTTGATTGAATGCTCTTGGACAAATTGGGCAAGCATATGGCTTTTCACCAGTATGGATGCGTTCATGTTTGCGGAGTGTTCCGCCATCAGCAAAAGCTTTCCAGCAGAAGCGGCAAGCATAGGGTCGTTCTCCAGTGTGAATCCGAATATGGATTTGTTGACTACTCCGGGATCCGAAGGTTTTGCCGCAGTCGCGGCATTGAAACAAGCGACCCGCGGCATCTCTTTGACTGTGTACAGCCAAGCGGTGATTTACAAGAGACCGCCCATCAGGGAAGGTAGCGCCACACTCAGCACAAGTAAGAACTCGTTCACGGTGAGAAACCATATGTCTAGAATAACAAAAATCACCATGATTAAGCAAAAAAATACTTTTCTAATGAATATATACAAAGTAAAATAGAGTAATCGATTTCCGAGATGCATACCTTCGAAGCCTTGCTCTAGAATGGAAACGCTTGTCACACTTAGGGCAAGAGTATGATCGTTCTGATGAGTGAACCCAAGAATGTTTCTGAAGAGCCCTACGATCCTTACAAGTTTTTCCACACAGTTGGCAAGCATTGGCTGGTATAGCACCAGCATGTCTCTCACGCACATGGGCAGCAACCAATTGGTCATCTGGGAAACCTTGACCGCACAACATGCAGCGATGAGGCTGATAGCGAGAGTGAGACTCTGTGTGGGCCAGAAGAGCTCTTCGAGAGCTATATGATTGACCACAGACTCCACAAGAGTAAACTCGACCAGATCCACCTTCCATTTCTGGTTCAGGAGGACCCATGTCCATCTTCATGTGTAACCTACGCAAACCATTGTAATTATTAATATACATGCATGAGCATGTATAAATGTTAAATGCAGAGAGAAATAGATACGAACCTAGCATGTTTCTTAAGGAGATCCTGTCTGTGGAACTCAAGACCGCAAGTCTGACATCTAAAGTTGCCAAAACGCTCATCTCCTGTATATGGACGATCAGTGATCTCCTCTTCCTCCTCCTCACGTTCAACTTTTACACCTGCACCAGGGTGTTTCAGCCTGGTATGCTCACGTAGCAAATGTACATCCCAGAACATTTCTCCGCATGATGAACATTCAAATGGACTATCACCAGCATGAATTCTGAAATATTAGAAAATATTAGTAAACTTAAGGAGAGACAGGAAAAGAAAAAATAAGTCAGAACCAATAGAATACGTCAATAGATTATACCTTGCATGAGATCCAAGTGCTTTAGCTCGAGCAAATCCAATTCCGCAATGCTGGCACACATAAGGGCGACTAGGATCAGTGACAGGCCACTGAGGCGGAATAGGCTCAGGTGCTTTCTGTTCCTCAACTGCCCCATTTATGTAGTAGCCATTGGACTCATCTCCACCACCGCGTGAAGCTAATTCGGTCATGAGTCGCATATCTTCATCAACGTAAGAAGAGCGGGGCTGCCGATCGCCAGCAATGAGTTTCTTACGCCCCGGCCCAGCTCCCTTAGGTTTACCAGGTTTCTTGCCAGGTTTCTTTTTGCCTCTTGGTTCAGCTGGTTCACCAAAGCTTTCAGCAACACGCCTTCGTTTTGGAGGTCCAGGAACCTTTAGACCAATGAAAAAATAATAAGCACAAGGTGGTAAAATTAGGGGAAACAACAACGGATTGAAAATTTTACCTGTTTTTGTCTCCCAACCATGCGAGTGTCTAAACTGTGTGGGGGGGACATTGGATCATCCTCATCTTCCTCCTGTTGCTCTGCTGCTTCAGGAGCGTATGCATGTATCTGGAAATGAATTTTGAAAAGTTGAGCACTTTCAATTAACTTAATTAACCATGGATGTGGCAACTTTAGAGTACATACCTTCAAATGGTTGTGCAAATCACATTTACGACGATATCTTGCACCACATAAATTGCAACCATAAGGGCGCTCCACTTGGTGAGCAACCATGTGATTCATAAGATTTGCTTTTTTAGAGAATCGGCGAGAGCAAAAGTCACAGGGATATGGTCTAACTTGGCTCGCCCCAGTTTGTTGGTCTTGAGGCAGGGGTACTAACATATCATCTTCTGTTCCAGCCTCTCCCCACTCTGATTGAACATTGACTGTAGAGACTAAAACCTGAATAAATTGAACATGGAAACAGTTTAGAGGGCCTACATTCAATGTGTTAAAGATGGTTTGTTAAAGCTAATACAGTAAGAAAGGACACCTACTTGACCATCATGGCCTGTTTGTCCAGTTTCCCATGCTTCACTGATGACCTCTTCTTCAATAACTTGAACACCAAAGAGCTCAGGGTCTTGATACTGGTATTGACCTCCAGAAGAATCCACAACAGTTTCCCCATCTACTAAATCTCCTCCAGTGATAACTTCTTCTCCAGTCATTATTTCACTTTCTGTGATGACATCTTCACCAGTGATAACATCGTCCCCTGACATAATATCTCCGCCGGTTATAACTTCCCCATCTGTGACTATCTGATCACCAGTTATAACTTGTTCACCACTAACAATGTCTCCTCCAGCAATTACCTGTTATGTTAAATAAAAATAAGAAATGAGTCAGTTCGAGTTCATAGATATATTAACGTATTGGATCTATAAAAGTGTTTCATTAAACAAGCTTTTAAAGGAATGAATGCTGCTAATCTTGGCAGATGCATGAAATGTACAGCACAGAAGGGATTAGTGAAATAGCAAAGCTGCAATCAGCATTTACAAAACAACCTGACCAAAAGTCAATGAGAGTTTAAATTGAGTCTTCTTTAAGGAGCCCAATAATGAAGTCTTTGAAATGTAGATCCAATACTAAAATAAAGTACCAAAAGAGGAGGAAAAGAGAATATGACATACATTTAAGAGACTTACATCTCCACCGACAACAACTTCATGGTGGGCATCATCCAAAAATACAGGAGACGGTTTCAAACCTGTCAATCCTGCTAATCCAGCTAGACCACTTAGGCCCGCTGAGGTTACAACTACCTGGTCTTGCGGCAACTGAATACAGTCTGACGTGACTCCAAATATGACCTCCCCATCAACTCCAGCCCCTGGGACTGCTTCTTCTTCCTCATCTTCTTCATCATCGTCCTCTGTCACCCAACTAACTGTCCACTGGGGCTCAGTTTCAGCTGAGTCTGCCATGGCTCAGCCAAAACGAATTTCTGATGTAGCACAATACTGCTGCAACATAAGTCAAAACAATATGAGGTGGTATTGTGGTAGATAGCTATAATACCCAACATGAACAGCAAAATTGACCGCTGAATTCTTGGAATTAAAATAGATCCATCATTCATATAAGCAAAGTCAAATAAATATAAATTTCCCAGGTAGGAGGTAAGGTCAGAAAAATATAAACAAAAGATTTAACTGAAAAACTAAAAATTCAGTAAACTAAAGACAAAAACGCAAATTTTAAAAAAAAGGAACAATATTCTAACAGCAGGATTGCAGTTGATCAGTGAACAGATCATTTATGGTAGAATAAATGTCATTGACAAATTTAACCTCTCAAGTCACATTTGACAGAAGATGTCAAAATAGACAGGTAAAGCTTAATACACCCACAAATTAGTTTGGAACATACTATTAACTAGAAAAATCTAGATTTATAAAAAACCGACGAAGAAGAGTGTTGCGAAAAAATCGTCCCAAGCCAATTCTACCAGTGGTAAACATTCCAATGGGGTTATGTTTATTTCCGAAAACCCGGGATAATTCTGTAGTTAACGATAAAACTCATAAAAATCTAGATAAAGTGCAAAAAGAGATACGTTCAGAAACCTTATTCTGCAATATTAATGCGCGTTACGTCCAACAGACAGAGACGCTTGGGTTTCGATGATAATTGGTGTAGGTTATATGGTCCTTGAACATTAACATAACCCTCTTTCAAAATAATAAGACTTACATTAAATAACAAACAGTGATTAGCAAACGCCAACAAGAAAGACCTTCACACTACGACGATAATAAGGCAGTATCCACCTCATAATGGTATTCTGGCAAACTTCGAAACGCATAAAATGGAAGCCGAGTGCTTCGCTCGCTAGGCTTAGCATAGGCCAAGCTAACCGCGGCGTACACCAAGCCAAGCTGACGGTGGCACAAGAACGCGTCTCCATCTAGAGATTGCGGGGGACGCAAATCTACCACATATATTATTATAATTATTACCTTCACTTCATGTCATCCAAGGGTAAAACAAACACACGGTTAGGTATATTTTAAACAAAGAAACATAACCCAATTTCCACTGACTGAAACGGCATCGCCTCCATTTGTAACGTATGCTTCAGAAAGTCTCCGCTTTGTTCTCTGGTGTTTTGTGTCGATATATATCGAAATAACCTAGCTCTTGGCTTTTACTCGTAAATTTGCCCCAGAAAACTCCCAATTTCTTCTAAAAGAAATGAAACAAGAGAAATTTTTCTTCAAAAATAACCTTTGGCTTAAAACTGCTCAATTCTAGTCCGATAAATAACAGTCTTGGCGCATTTAATCATTTCCCGCGTATTCATTCTTACGTCATAGAATCTCGAACTGTTTGCGTTCGGGAGGGTGGGGAGGGTGAGGGGGCGAGGAGAGTGAGGGTGGAGGGGTGTGCAGGGAAATCTCTCTCTGCTGTGCCAGAACAAACAATAACAAATAGATGTTCTTCGTCTTAAAAACAGAATACCTGCTGTATCTTGCCTCTGTGGAAAATGAAATTTCATACACTGCATCTTGACTTGATTTTTCTGATGATGGCAGCTACTTGCACTTCAAATCAATTTTGAAATGTGAAGGTGATAACCTATTGAATGCTAATAGAATGTGTCGGTGAATAAAGGAGAACTGTTCTTACGTTTTATTTTAATTGCAAATTTGAGGCTACTGTGCATAAGTATTTTGAAGACTTCCCACTTCATAAGCTGTACATGTCCAAGAAAATTACACTTATTTATTAATTAAAACATAAAAATAATACAAGGTTCTGCTATAACATATTAATTTTATCAATTGTCATTCACATCTGACCTATGCTTCATTTTCTTCTGTTGATAGCCGCTGGTTTGTATTGCATCTTTATTCATTCAGAATGGTTGATCCAATATCTGAAGATGATTGCATGCTCCGTGAGTGGGCACCACTATCTTCTTTGCTTGGACAAATTCCACCCAAAGCACAAAGAGGACTTTTTACTGGTGACCTTAATTTTACGTGCATAGCTGCAATACCAGATTATCTAGCAATTGGAACAAATCATGGCCTTGTGTACTGGTACAATAGACTTACCAATGAGCTTCAACGATTGCGTTGTGAGGTACCTTCTCCTCTGAGACTGTGTTGGGTTATTTCATACTTCTTTTCTCATAATCTAATTGTATTTTCTTCTTCTGCTAATAGAACACCATGTGCTCGATAACATGTGTTAGTGTGACTTCCACAGTAGACTTCATGATTGCAGCAGGAACCAGCACAGGGGTTGTATCAGTGTTTCTGGTTCCCAAAGCTGCACCTAATGACATTCCAGATTTGTTTAAGACAAATTCCAAAAAGCAGGTACTGTTATGTTACTGTTTTAAAGTATTGATCTGTAGTAATACTATTCTTTTTTAATTTTTTTATTTTTTTTATTTTATTAGATTGAGCGATATACAGTAGGAGACCTACATTCTACGCCCATAACAGCCATAGAATGGAGCCCAAATGGTATGAAGTTGTTTAGTGGAGATCAGAAAGGCATAATTGTCCTGACTGAAATTGATTTTTACATGGTAAGTATGAATTTAATCTTCTATTTAAAGTAAGAAAGATTGTTTTTATAAGAAATGAAATAGAAGAAATTTTATATGCTCAGCATCTCAGCAAATCAGTGGAGATTCTTAATGAGAAATATGAAGTTGTTCAGCTCAGCTACAATTCAAACAATCAGCTTCTTCTGGTGTCAACTTTATTTAGGACCATATTGTGCTTTAAAAATGCCAGTGGAGGTACTTGGAAAGTATCCCAAGTTGGCAACAAAGAAAGAAAGACGTTAGTATTATCACTGCTTGATTTGTATTCCAATCCTCATTATCAAAACCAAATTTTACCTTTGACTCTTTGTTTGTTTTTTTTTTTCTTTTCTAAATGTTATAGATTGGGGAAAATGGGTGCAACTTTTTTTAACAACTCTGAAAACCCACGATTCCCAGTAGTATTTTGCAGTAGACCTGGATTAAGAATCTGGACAGCAAACAAGGATGGCGTTGTTGAAAAGACACTAATGTTCAAAGTAATTAATTCTTTTCTACATATCTGTATTTAGTATGTCTTTAAACCAAAAAAAAAATGGTATCATTTGCCTTTTTTTTTATTTTTTAAGGACTCTGTGCTTGGTCAACAATATCTCATTCCACTTTTGAATCCAACAAAATCAAGAGGAAGACAGTCATGTGGTGATCTGCAGCTTGGCCCACTTCTGATGTTTAGAGACTGTCTGTTAGTCACATACACCTCTGATGCTCTTCTGATATTAGATCCTAATTCAATAAGTGTTGTTGGGGCTTTGTATGATGTTCAGAAAATATCTGCTCTGTGTGTAACAAAATCAGAAATATTTATATTGGAAGGAGAGCGCCATATCATGCGCATAGGGTTTAGTCCTGAGAAGTCAACAGTCAGTAAGTGATTAGAAACAGCATTCTCTGTAGGATGTTTTCACCTGTTATTCTAATGACCATTGATAAGAAATCCCTTTTATTTCTAGCACATTTAGAAGACTCGGCTTCAGCAATAGGGGGAGCAATAACTAATCAATTTCTAGAACTTACTGCAAAAATAAGAGATGCTTCTTTTACATCTGTGATTCCAATTAAAAAGCTTTCACCAATTTTCTCTCCAACCCGAAGGTAAAGCAGTCTAATAAATTGTCTCCACAACTTTCTTATTGCGTAGATAATGAGTTCGATCGCATTATTTTATTCAGCTCTGGCTCAAGTGATGGAGAACAGGTGTCAGAATGCATGGAAGCTCAGGAACTTCCTCCTGTTTTATCCTTGGATACTTTAGATCTTGCTACAACCGAGAGCATACCAGAACTTCATGTTAATGCAGATTCTGTCGTTTTAAGTCCCGCACAAAAGGAGGTTTATAGCACGGCTCAAAGAAGTGGTGTAACTGCTCAAGTTGGGTGAGTGAAATGAGTTGTAGCCAAACAATTACGACAAAATGTCAAAAATTCTTATAAATTATAGTGTCATTTTACCTATTAAATCCCTCTCTTTAATATTTTCCATAATTTTTAATTTTAATGTAATCTGGTATAACAATAATTACAGCACATCATTGCATTCAGAAATGCTGGATAAAATTGGTCAAGAGCAGTTTGAAGAAGTTGTGTTCCAACCAAGAAGAAAAATTAAAAAGATAAGGAAGAAACCAGGAGTTTTAGCAAAAACAGGTAAACCATAATCGTAATTATATAAGATTAAGAGAAACACTTGAAGTAACTCTTAGGTTTGTAACCTGCTGCCTGCCATATTGTGAGTGGGGTTAGTTGTCTGTACGTTCTGTCTGGCACTGTGCCAATGCTCTAAAATTAACTGAAGGTTTCCTCACAGAGGGAGCAATGCTTTCTCTTTGTGTACAAATAAAGAATTTCATCTTGCTACATCATTTTCTTCAAAAAAGTCATACAACATGGCGTGGTACTTTGGATCAGGCGAAAATTTCCTTTGGATGAAGTTTAACCTTAACTACAGTGGTATTCTTCTTATAGCAATGTTGTTCTTTATCTCATAAATATTTGTGCAACACCTGTTGTTTTCAGTTCACACGCAGTTTGTGCAAACAGCTTTAAGATTGGTTTCTATCTTCTATTTCTAATACATTTTACAGGCACTGAGTCTGGATCAGACACTACAAGTGTTGTGTCAACAACCTCAGAGAATGATGAAGTATGGCCCGGAGAACAAGTGGATGCTAGCAGTGAGTGGAGCAACGTAAGTGTGAACACATCCCGGCGATCTTCTGTTGATGCACAAGTAAGTGTTTGCAGCTTTTCTATTTGTTTGTTTATGTCTCCTGTTTATCCCGTTAGAATCAATATTTCATTCATTGTGATCTTTTGTGATATTTATCAGTCAAAATCAGAAAATGACATTTTAAAGAAACTTGAAACAACCTCTGGGCAAGAAAATGCTTGTAATGAAAACTTTGGTTTGGAGGAAAGTTTTTATGGACTTGCATTACAGTCTATATCAGAATCTACTCTCAAGCTATCTAAATTTGAAAATTTTGTTACTCTGCAACAACGAAATGAGCAAGAGATTGAAGAAGCTCTAGCTGCCAAGGAACGGTTGCTAGCAAAGAAATATAATTTAGAGGTGGAGCTTGGTATTCCATTAGATGATGAACAATCTTTGGAAGCTATTTCAGTGGTGGATTTGGATACTCAACAAACAACAAATGAAACAATGCCTGAAGATGACATATTAGATAGTAATTTAACTGCATGTTCTGAGGAAAGTACTTTGCAGAGCTTCAGTGGTTTTGAAAACTTGAAAATTATCTCTGATGGTATTGAAAGTTTCCATGATGAGAAAATAACTTCACTCAGTAGTATTCTAAGCTATGGACCTCCCTCAGGAAGTAGCCAGCTTCCCAGTAGGCATTCATCATTGGATCTGGAACTTCCCTGTAAGTTTATAGTAATTCTTTGTACAGCTAAAAATTTCAAAATTTGATTGGTTCTTAATTGTTGTCATTATGACTAACTAAACATTAAAAGCTAACTATTTTTTATAGCCCCTAGAGAAGAATCAGGTAATGTCTCTCTACAGAAGGAAGCTATGGAAGCCAGTGGATGGTTGCAGTTCAGCACTCCAAAACCTACTGTTTGGCTTGCTGTCTCTAGTCACTACTTGGTGGCAATTGATAACCATGATACAGTCCATTACTGTGGTTTGGGAGGACTTGGCTTAAAGTGGCAGATAGCTGATTGCAAAGCATCACAACTCGCACTTTCTCCCAATACAAGTTGTGTCTGGAGATTACATAACAATGTAGCGTATGCATTGAAAAATCCTGCCTCTTCAGGTAAAGCAGACAAATTAAAATACTATCTCAATTCATACCCTTTTTTAGGAACCACTGTGTTGTAAGCCTTTTCTGTTCTCTTGCTTCTTTCTACCAGGTCCTCATGGAGAAGAATGGTTAGAAGTAGCTACAAGTGTACGAAGCATTGCTGTAGCAGACAATTGCGCATGGTTTATATCTCTGGACGGTGATATTTTCTGTCAGAAAGGACTAAGTAAAAGCAGTCCCACATCAGATTTGACAACCATAAATAAGCCTTGTGAATGGTCTGCAGTTAAGATTGTGTGCTTCTCCCAAGTCAGAATTAAGTTTTTATCAATTTTTACTGAAGTTAAATTTGTAAAGTGCATTACTTGAGTATTTTAATTATTGTTTTTAGATTGTGTGGCTATTGGCGTCTACTGGTGAGGTCTATGCTCGGTTAGGTGTTTCATCTGCTAGGCCTGAGGGTGTTGATTGGAAGCGTGTGAACATACCTATTCCTGGAAGTGTTGTTGACATATCACTTGGATCTCAGAGAACTGGTTGGATTGTGGACAACAATGACACAGTGATGTTCTCAGTTGATCACATGGAGCATGAACCACACTGGTGGCAGGTAGGCAAAAAGCAAGAAACATAGTACTAAGTGCAAGAGCCTTCAAGTGGATTGTCAGCTTAAGATATTTTCTTACTGTTCCCAGGTTTTGATAAGTGACTACATATTTCAACAGACTTCACCGCTCCAAAGATTGCGAACAACACTAACAAAAAATTTGCGCCCAGCTTTGCCTAGTCGTCATGGACCAATATCATGTGTTGGTTCAGGCAAAGATTCAGTTTGGATTCTTCAGCATAATTCTAATACTTTGCATGCTAACAAATCAAAGATTACAGGTATATTTCAAAGTACACTTCAAGTTGCAATCTATTACAATCGTAAATTATATTTTTGAATTTAATGTTGTATTGTATGTCTCTAAATACTTAGGTCATTCTTGGACAAAAATAAAAGTTAAGGGGTCTCCGACCAGTATAAAATGGCAGACAGTAACAGCAGAGGGTATTTTTGAAAGTGGTGGACAGCTATGGTTACTTTCAGCCAACGGAGATTTATTTTGCTCCCAGCCATACAACCGCAAGAACATAGAGGTACATAGTTCTTATCAATATTTGTTCACTCATAAACATAATTAACTCAAATTAGAATTACAGTAACCTTGAGTTTGTATTAATTTGTTTTTCTCTTTAAGCTAATACCTTTACCAACGTCAGAGGGTGCTGTTTGTCTTGCTTCATCCTCCCAAGCGTTATGGCTGCTCACGTCTTCAGGGAAAATTTATATCCGTCAAGGGCTAAGTGACACTTGTTTGGAGGGCAACAATTGGACAGAGTTGAGCCTTGTGCAAATAGGTTTGTGTCCTGAAACATGTGATGTGAATTGATTTAATTGCTGCGGTAGTTGGCATATTTTACTTTTTGATCTAAATTCCAGAGGATGTGCATTTAAGTCATGTGTCATGTGGACTGGATGTTGTATGGGCTTGTGACACTGTAGGTAATATGCACATGACTGTCAGTTCTCCCCATGCCATGGCCACTGCTGCTTTCTCTCCTGTGTGGATTCGTGTTCCTGATTCTAAAGAACAAAAAAAGATATTCTTCATCAAGGTATTGTCATTTTACATTTGATAAAATGTTTATTGTTTGATCTGTGTTTATTATATCATGAAATATCTGTGTTTGACAGGTCTTTGTTGGCTCACAAACATATATGGTCTGGGCTTTAGACAATCAGGGTAAAGTTTATGTCAGAGAGGCTATATTTCCCGATTACCCTCTTGGTCTTGATTGGGTAGCTGTAACAGGCATTACAGCACTAGATCTAAGTGTTAGGTAGTAAAGTTGTAGAGATTGTAAATTGCTATTTTTTTGAAAAGATTATTTCTAATGTTTGCTTTTTATTTTATAATAGTGCTACAGCAGTTTGGGCTTTGTCTGTGGATGGAGATGTGTACCGACGTCAAGGTATTACCCAAAATAATTACATTGGAGACTATTGGAAGAAAATACCTGGTTCTGTTGAAGCCCTGACAGGTTTGTAGAGTAGTAATAATGCTTCTAAACTCTATAAATGTTTTTTTTTTCCCCCTCTTAGATATAGAAATTATTTTCTATGTTCTTTTTGTTTTTTCAGCATCTATGTGTGATAGACTGTGGGGTATTGATAAGAGTGGTATGCTCCTACGACACACACAGCTAACAGTAAATCTGAATTCTGGAAGCGTAAATCCAGGAATACCTCAAGCACTTGTGGAAAATATGCCAGTAGGAGAAGAAGGAGATTGGGAAGTAGTGTAACTTAAGTTTTTAATGCTATATTCCAAAGAATTCAACCTATTATGATCTTCATTCATTTCTTCATGTTTAAATGAAAAGGGGTTGTTTAATTTCTGTCACATGCTACTGACCTGAGATGTTCAAATACATCTCTGTAAATAGAATTTTGGTAAGAGTATGTTATTTCCTTCCCACTTTTTAAACATCTGTGACATGCTCAAAAAGTAAAAGGGTATTTATAATTGTCATTTTAATTATCTTTATCGTTGTTAAAAAGGGATTATTTCTTAATTTTTAGTGCCTTAAATCTTGAGAAAGGGCGGGTTTATCTCAAGGTTAAATACTTTAATTTTTAAACCAAATAATTCAGTTATTCCAAAGATAATCTATTGGTTTTCTTGACCTGAAGCATCTTGATCTGTGATTTTTTTTGCTGTGTCCACCTTGTAATCTGAAAGACTCTTGGTAAATCTATTTTATATTACATTTGGGATGTCTATCCTGATGTGGAGTGCTTCTGATTTGGGTGTACAGTTTATCAAAAAGTGAATATCCCCCTACATAATTATTCCTTTTCCCCCAATTCTATAAACACTTAATTTCAAATCGCAAATGTTCATGATCTGATTATTATAGTTCTAATTTTATGTCTGACCGACAACTTTTGTACACTGTTATATCTCTTAGGCATATTTGTGAAAGATTTTTTGTTCCCATCATTTATCTGGATCCTGAAAGCATCTATACAATTTTGTGGTTTGTATTTTGTTGTAGTTTTGATGCACAATTGTTTTCTATTCTCCTTGTCAATTTTTTTTATTTTTCTCTATGGTGCTAAATTTTTAACCATTTATATGTAGTAAGTTGCTGCTTGGGAATTTTTCTCAAGGGTTGCATGTGATGCAACTAACTGTGTGCTAGTGTCTGTGATACGTTTACTCTTGGCATTAGTTTTTAGTCAATTGGAACAAATAAATTAAACGTTTTCTGCTAATGTGAGTGTATTCTGTATGTAAGTCGCGTAAATCCATACAAAATTTATAAAGCCAATGGAAACACAAACAGAAATACACAAAACTCCGAGTATCACAGGATGCTTTACAGATACTTCCATACAAGATTGAAATTAAACCATCTGGTAAGAATCTAAAACGGACACAAAAACAGCTTCTGATCCCAATTAGATGGACAAAATAACAGAAAATGCACACCTAATAGCAACTTGAAAGCTATTTTGCATAACATGTGTAACGAACCACTACTACATCCACTGAATCTGTCGAGGTCATTAAAATAGTTCATAAATCATCAAAAATATTGACCATATTGAACTTGGGAATGTAAGCAGCACATGTTCATTCATTGATAATAGAAAAAAGAAAAATCAACTTTCTCCAGGCTTTTTCTTTTCCTCCTCAGTGTGGAGAACATTCCTTTCAATTTCTTTTAAGTCGATCTTAAGTTCTTTAATAGCTTCCTACAGAAAAAAAGAAATGTTATTATTTTTTTAATAGTTTAAAACTTTAATAAAAAGGAGTGAGTCGAATGGGCACTTCACCTTCACACATTCTGTGTATAGTTTTAGAATTGGAGCACACATTGATTCATTGTTGTTTCCTTTTAGAAACTGTGTTCCAAACCAGACATTGAAACAAGCATCATACTCCTGTTTCAGCTCATTACAATTTGACCCAACGCTATTCATTTTGTAACTGTAAACAAATACAGTGATATTGAAAAGTAAAGGAAGACTGCTCTTGCTTGGATAATTGCAATTAAATAATTATCTTAGCGTCCAACTATTACTATAAACTACGTAGTTCATATCAAAAGTATGATTAAAGCACAAAATATCATGACAATTATGCTAATGCAGAATTTGAGAAATTACCTGTTCACAACCTACTTCGGATAGCTTCTGTTACGGACGATACCGTGGCTCTATAGGTTAGATTAGTACTGAATTGATTTTAACAAGATAGACCAAAGACCACATTCAATGACAAGGAGTGATTAAAACTGGGACAATATAGCTGTGCGGAAATTGGTTGTCACAACTCAACACTGTAGAGGCCGACAAAGCAAGAAATAAAATTGATCTGATGAAATTCAAGTTCACATGTCAGGATAGATGTCTGCTCGCTGCACACTCTAACCTTCCTCCTTCAGTTTCTGTAGTCTATTGAAAGTAACCTTAACCTTCTCCACACGCAAGTTCTAAAAGTTGAGCTTTCCCAACAATTGTCCTGGACTGCTTTTCTCATTTTCAAACTTGGTTCATAGGAACGTGTTTGAGAAGATAACATCGGGCTCATACTTTGCTTCACAAGTAAATAAAAGTGCCAGCTGTGGACAACATGATGTCAACGTTTTTACATAACCGACTATATTCCGGTGATCGGGGCGTTCGAGATAGAACGTAAACAAACCATTACACCAGTGAAAGTGAAAAAAATATTGCATTGTCATCATACTTTGTTTCTAAAAAGTAAAAAATGTTAGTCATTCGTACAAGTCTAAAGGAGCTGTAGTTTCGTCGCACGCAAAGTTCAGTCTGTAATTGTGTAAATTCAGTGTCTGCCTGGAACACTATTTACCATGTCTGGAGATTTGTTTAAGGTTCAGTTTGTTAGATTTAAGACATCCTTCTTATACATTCCCGACAAATGGATCAAAAAATTAAAAGACATCAGGAAGTTAGATCATGTAAGTAGTTGTTTTGTTGTCCTCAGAACTTTTAACCTTTTAATTGAAAAATCTTTGCTCCTGCAATTTTTATATTATGAATTAATTACATGTTACTCCTCCTTTTGGTGTATGTTGCCTTGAACTTCTTCTATCTGAAACTCCTCACGTTGCCAGGAATCAACCATAAAGGTGGTTTATGATACAACCAAGTCAGCGTTTTTCACTTTGCAGCAGACAGTTTCTCAGCATGACAATGTTGTGGGAATCAATGCAACAGTTGCTTCTAATCTCGGGTTAAAGGAAGGAGATGTCATTTCTCTCGTCATCTGCAGCAATCCTCCACATCTTCATCGGGTTGAAATGTCGCCCCTTTCATTCGATGACTTGGAAATGATCGTAAGTTTTAAGACAAATGACCATTAAAGTATGTGCAGTAAATAAGTTGATAGATCATATTCCTTTTTTAGGAAATGAGCAGTGGCTTATTACAATCTACACTTTTAAATCAAGTTCGTGTTGTGTGGAGAGGCCAACTTCTTACTGCTTGGATCAGTAGTTCGGTTCCAATCGTCCTCCATGTTGGTAAGTTGTGTAGGTGGAGTTGTAAATTTGAGTTTCTTTGTTTCTGTTTTAATTTTTTTTCCTCTATCACAGGCAGCATGGATCCTGATGTTGTTGTTGGGCATTTAGAACAGATGACTGAAGTTGTCATAGGTGATCCAATTAGCAGCAATGTAACATCCCTTGCTAATAATTATCTTGAGAGGGGGAATATGATTAATGACATTGCCAGCTCTGGCTTAAACTTTGCTAGCTCTGTTATTAAATCAATTAAAAGGCCATCAAATTCTGAGGATGAAAAGCCTTTAGAGTGTAAACTAAGTACTGAAAAAAAGCAGTATATCTTCAGAGTGCATCCCCTTGGTTGTGATCAATCTCAGTTTGGACCCTTAGATGCCTTTATTCCTGATTCCTCTATGATGAACATTTTTAAAGTTGGAAAGACAAACCCTGAATCAATTTTTTGTCAAATTAAAAAAATACAGTATTTAACAGATGCAAATGCTAAAACTAATAAATTAGCTGAAGAGGGAGAGAAAGAAAATTGTGAACAGAGGACAACTGAAGATTTATCAACTTACGTTCGTTTGAGGAGTGTTACTGCCTTAGAAGAGGCTAAAGACAAATACTACTCCACTGATATGAGGTGCATTTACTTATCCAACAATTTGAGAAACATCCTTAGTCTTGAGATAGGCTCCCGAGTAATTCTCTCTGATTTCAATCTGAAACCACTAGGAGGCAGCTTTGAACGAATTGATATCTTCCCATTTTATGTGAGTAATTTTCTTTCATGTATTCCTATTATTGTTCAAAGTTTTCTGATCTTTTTAATACTTAATTAACTTAATTTACAGGGTTTAAAATGTTCTGAGCTTGATAAAAGCTTAATCAAATATATTGAAAAGGTCAGGGGAGGCCTTCTCCTGTGCAACAATATGTTACTCACAATCCCTACTGAGAATGGCTATGTAGATGTGGAATTACGTTTTGTGCCAACATCACTATCATACTATCTTGTTCTCCCTGGTCAGTTAGACACAAAGAAAATTCGAACAAGACTGGAAAAGCGTTCTGACAAGAAATTGAGTTTACCACATGGTAAACCCTTCATTACCAAGAATGGAACAGAAGATCTTTATTTAAAGTAAAAGTTGGAATTGAGGCAGTTATTAAGTGAGTTTGATTTCTAGAAACTTATGTACCATTTGTATTTGATTTCACAGTCACTTTCTTACCAATATCAATGAGGTTTTGATGACCCTCAATTTAACACTGGGTCTTGAAGGTGGTATGAAAGATCAGCCATTAGTCCGCATCAAAAACAATCTTCTGATTTTAGGTATGATTTTTTAATCTTTACAAAAAGACTAATATTTTTTTTCCTTCAAGCTGTGTTCATGCATAATCTGAGTACAATTATTCACAGGGAAGAGCGGTGCTGGAAAAACCAGTACTGCAAGTCTTATTTGCAGTATACTGCAAGGCTTTCCACATCATGTTCATAATGCAATTATTAAGTGCCGTCCGCTCAAAGGTTTTATTTCTATTCTGTTTCTTTTTTTAAATTAAAACATTATGACACATCCTTAGTTTTATATAGGTTGGGTTTTATTTCTGCAGGAAAGACTGTTGAATCACTGGTCAAACATATAGTTAGTTTCATCGATGATTGTGTGTATCATCAACCATCAATTCTTATACTAGATGATTTAGAATGCATTGCTGGGGTTCCAGAGGATCAGGATCAGAACAGCCAAGCTTCATCATACTTCAAAAGGTTGGTGTGTACGATTAATATTTTTCTTTCCTTTCTAAAAAGAAAAAAAAATAACACCTAGACAAACTTATTTCATTTTTTCCAATTATTAATGCTTGTAGGGTCGGCAGAATGCTTATTCAGCTCCTAAGCTGCCTTCAATCTAGTCACTCGGTTGCAATAATTGCCACAGCTCCTGCAGTATCATCAATTTCTCCATCAGTACTGCCTCCAAGAGGTGTCCACTTCTTTAACACTCGCCTTGAATTACCAGAACTGACAAAGGTATGCAGATAATAAAACTACTTTTAAAAGGCTATTAAGACCAACTTTGGTTTGTCTGTCTACATAGATTGAAATATCTTTTTTGTAGAGTGACAGACAAGGCGTTTTAGAAAAGCTTATTCATAAGAAGTTATCAAATAAAGAAGTTAGAGAATTGAGATGTCTAGATAATATAGAAGACTATGCCAAAAAAACAGAAGGTTACTGTTGTCAGGATTTAGCAGATTTAGTCGATAAAGCCACTCTTTCAGCATGTATGAGGCAAGGTAATGTTCACATTAGGTTTGTGAGATTATATCGTGGAATGTTTAATTTTTATTAATACATTTTTCAGTGCTTTCCAGTAAAGTACCAGTTTTGGAGAGCTGTGATATGCTTCAAGCTGTGTCTGAAAGTACTCCTATGCTTTTGCGAGGGGTAAGCTTACACAAAGATTCTTCGTTAGGCTGGGATGATATTGGTGGACTAGTAGAGGTCAAAAATGAATTAAAAGAAGTGTTTGAATGGCCTGTTATGGTAATTATAAAACACTAATCTTTAAAAATCCTTAAAAATCCTATGGCATTACTTAATTTTCTGTGTTCAATATGTTTCCAGTATCCAGAACTTTTTCAAAATTCACCTCTTAGGCAACAATCTGGTTTATTGCTTTATGGTGCCCCAGGTACAGGCAAGACTATGCTAGCTGCCGCAGTGGCAAGTGAGTGTGGCCTTAACTTCATCAGTGTCAAAGTGAGATATTACATATTTAATTTTTACTATGAGCACCAATCCATTTTTCTTTAAATCAACTGTAATTATTTTCAAATTTTAGGGACCAGAACTGCTGTCTAAATATATTGGAGCCAGTGAGGAAGCTGTTCGTAACATATTTTTTAAGTAAGTTGATTTGTTACAAACTGAAAAAAAAAAATTATTTTGGGCATGTTATCCAAAATGAAGCTTAAATAATTAAATTTGCTGTTTTTTGTTGTAAATTACAGGGCTCAAAGTGCTAAGCCCTGTGTTTTATTCTTTGATGAATTTGATAGCCTTGCCCCACGGTATGTCTGACCTAGATACAAATTTAATCCGTCAATCATTCCATCCTGCTTACATGGAAAAAAGTGCTATAATGTTTTATTTTATATTTTTTCTGTAGGAGGGGTCATGACAATACAGGTGTTACTGACCGTGTTGTGAATCAACTGTTAACACAATTAGATGGAGTTGAAAGTCTTACTGGTGTTTGGGTTCTGGCTGCAACTAGTCGACCAGATCTTTTAGATCCAGCTCTTCTGAGACCAGGGCGTCTTGATCGTTCTGTTCTTTGCCCTTTGCCTGATAAGGTTTTTCCACATTTTCAATTTTTAATAATTTTCCTAGTTTCATTTATCAAAATAGTGAAGTCGAGTCAGCAATCTACTTTTTATCTACATATTTCTCCTTCTATTACAGGAGGATCGATTAGCTATCTTGATGGCTTTGAGTAGGAAAATGAATTTAGATGATGATGTAGATTTCACTGATATAGCTACTCAAACTGAAGGCTTTACTGGAGCTGACCTGCAATCTATTCTGTACACTGCTCAACTCAGTGCTGTTGAAGAACAACAATCAGAAATGCAGGGTACAGCTGCCTTTTCTCAAGGTACAGTTATTCCTCTATTCCTCAACTCTTTGGTAGTTAGGGATGGAAATACCATGCTGAATTGAAATGGTTTAGTAAATGTAACATCCTATCCTAACTTCGTTTTACTCTTTCCCTTTTAGAAGAAAAACATACTCCTGATAGAAACACGGTCAGTTTCCATTTTATTTAGGAATATGCTTAGTGCTCCAATAGAAATTGATACTTTACTGCTTTATCAACTTACAGGTCCTTCTTAAAGTAACCAAGTTCCAGTTGGATTCGGCATGTAAGAGTACAAGGCCTTCTCTCACTATTCAAGAGCGAATGAAGTACCAAAATATGTAAGTAGCTGTAATTGGGTAAATTGCTTTCTCCCTTCCTATGGACTTTTACAGTATTATGCTGGACTAAACACAACAATGTTTCTCTTTTTCATGGAATTTTAGCTACAAAAAGTTTAGAGCTGGGCGCGAAGATAACAAGTCCAACATTTTAGAAGGTCCTCCACGAGCCACACTTGCTTGATTTTAAGTTATCTATTTTGTCACCCTCCCCCCCTCCCCTCCCTTTCCCTTCCCCCCTTTTTTCAACAGCAAAACGATTGTTGTGATTCGTAAACTTCACCAATCAAACACAGTATAATTTTAAGCCAGCAATATGACGTAAATACACATCGGGGATATGGTGTCCACAGCATTTAACATTCTTGTTAAATGTGGGTACTTTTTGAGGAAAAGGGTTCAATATTGTATATTTTTGTTACAATCTTTTTTAATTTTTACGAAAATAAAATATATTTGTTTCAGAGAAATTTCGTAAAACCTAAGTCTTTAAAACATACAACTTCAGTTTTGAACACTTGAACATCAATAACATGTTAATACTTTCAATCTTTTAGAATTAACAAAACCATTAAGGAAATAAAATAATGTACATGATGTAAGGCAGCCAACAAAAGTTTATGAGTACACTATTAAAGGAAAGAAAGTTGTCATTCATCACTACAAGACTTTGTGGGGAAACGTCCGGACGGTTCGCTGGTTCCCTCATTGGGAGGTCCTATCAAAAAACTTGACTATATTTTTTTAATATGTTCCAGGTAAAACATTGTAAATTTTCAAGTTGAGTGCCGAGCAATGTCAATGTTGAATAGCAGGTCCAGCATGACAACACTACATTTGATTCAAAATCAAAACAATTTCCATCAATCGTTTTTGTATTTTTCAAGTTTAGAGTGGTGTAGGCAGCCATATTTATCGCTCACCACCCACCTAGGAGCTCGGACATTCTACTCGTAGTTTCTCTGCGCCCTGCGCTGGTGAGTGCTCCCACAATGTGCGCACTCAAGCAATAGTTAGATTTCAAAATTTTGAAAAAAAATGTTGAAAAAATGATATTTTAATAAACACTTGAAGTAGGGACATTCCAAAGAGGGGACCTCCCAACATTTCCCAGGAAAAATTCAAACTCAAAGCTTAAGTTATAATTAAAAATAGGTTTGATTTATTTAAACTTTAAAAATTTCATGGAGTTATAGACATCTTCTATTGGGAATGGACAGCTGTAAAGATTTCAGAATCAACTGGATTTTCCAATCATTGGTCTGATGAGAAGAGTATTCAAGAAAAAATCACTTCTAATATTACAAGCACAGACTACACTTCAACATTGGTAACTCCTAGTTTATTTAACTTTGCTGTTGCTAAAATTAAAGAGGTGTATGATATTATTTTACTTCTATCATTGAAAGATCAGTATGTCTGGTTAGTCCACAAAGCATTTTTTTTTTGTGGAGCAATACTATAAAGTGTTACACACTAAAAAAAATACCAAGGCACTGTAAACAATATTTAGTGACTTCTATGAGCAACAGCAGATTGTAATACAGCATTATCTATTTCTTTGGCACCAATGCAGGAGACTTTATGTCTCCTGACCAATGATTACTTAACAGAGCTGTGCTGTGAACAAGCTTATGCTGGATTTAGTCTCTTACTGAAACTAGAGCGATCAGGGGCCTGTCCTCCCTACCTAAGCTTTCTTCAAGTTTCTCGGTAGTGTTTCTACCCCTCTCGCACCACTGGTCTTCAAAAGAGAGATGGGTGTAGAAAACCCCCAAAACTCGTGTAGACAAAGCCTGTCTGAAGCCAACTCTATTCATTTTCAGATTGAACTTGTTCAGTTTAACAGCATGATTAGAGGGGTCGCATTTTTCAGCAAGCATGGCCATTAACAGGTCTTATTAGACCGAGCATGTTAAGTCAATGAGAGGTCTCTAATTGCAGTATAAATGTGATCAAAGCTATTTAAGGAGACATAAAGGAACCATTCTGGACTGGCTAAAGGGATCTCTCTATTGACTGAAAAATGTATTGGCTCATTTGGGCAAGTTCATTTGAACACTCTCACTAGTTAAAGACAACACCAATAATAACAGAGCAATAAAAATAAATGCAAGCTAGGTTCGATTTGCTGTAGTCATTACAGCATGTTAAGTACATAGACAACTCTTGACGTATACACAGAAATGCAATATACAGTCCAAATTCATTATTGTCAGTCAGATTCCATGGAATCTTTTCATTCATTAAATTATCATAAAATTAATGCTTTCGGCACATTTTAGAAGTATAATCACATTCCCTGATCATCAGGAAACTTAAAATCACACTAGCTTTTGCTGACAAACGAAAGTTCAGCAAGGACGGTATAGGCGTCCGACTTTGGATACTGTTATCTGGCTTTTGCCTTTTCTTTCTTGGATGATACCGATACCAAAGACATAGGAGTGATGTGGGCAGGCTTTAATTTCCTGTGTCAACCGTTAATTAAGATTAAAATTTGATGTTAGATTGAATTAGATCTAGAAATGTACTGTTAAGATTACTTACGAATATTCTGAATTGGGAGCACCGATCACCATGACATCACTGCCTTTCACTCGCATCCGCCACATACTATTGTGGTAACCTCTAGCATCCAGGTCCCATATCCTGAAACACTGTGCAAACATGGTGGCAACATTGAAAGTAAACTTGTGTAAAATTATTTACATAAACTTAGAAAATGAAAATGGTATTTACTAACCTTAGCTACTTGGAGCCATGTGGCAAAGTCTTTAGGGGATTCCATTTTAATATATAATACATAAACTTCTCCCTGCCCATGAATTGAAACAGAGGTGAGTGTTAGAAACTTGTGAAATAAGATACACAAATAATGTGTCAATGATTGAAATTTACCTTTCTCTCAGGGATAAAGTTTTCATCACACGGATCTTTATTGTGGTCTAAAGGAATAGAACGCTTCAGGTCTCTCCAGATCAGACGCTCATAATTGACTTTTTTTACACTGTAAAAGAGAAGGATCAAAAGTAAAGATGTGAACTGGAAAATAAATGATGAGTTTGCATAATCTTTATTGAAATACCTGTCTATATTTTTGAGCTCAACATAGCTTTGAGTGTTGAATGAATGCTGCTTAAAGTAGACTTCTTGGAAATAAGAGTTCATATTGAGACCAGAAGATCCAAAGTGGTACGTTCGAGAAACATCAGGTACTATGCACTCACGTCCTTTCCTTACTTCTGGCATTCTCATCCACATATCCCAGTCCCACATCTGTGCAAAACATGGTGCAAAATGAGTATTAAAGCTGCAATTTTAATCCCATTCTCAACTAGAATTTAGCTTTAGGAACGTACCTTTTCTGGTGTGGGCCAGTTGGGCTCTAGCTCCTCTTTGTAGAGAGACCGCTTCAAAACCCACCCAAGGCCTGGCATGGTTTCTATTCTATATAAACGAGTTGGATCATCACTAGTATGCTCATATCCTTGATCATTCCATGCTGATATACAGTACAAAGATGGGTCTTCATCTAATAACCGAAGGGTTTGGCTGAAATAGCTGTAGATGATGAATTTAAAGAAAACACATCATTAGATTTGTGAAGTGTAAGAGAACAAACTGGCTTGTCTGTCTGTGCAAAATTCCAAAAACAAAGTTTCATAACACTAGTTCGAAAAAAAATTCTGGACACAATTTGGCATGCAGAACTTCTAGAAACATTACAAACCTGAAGAAATCAGGAGAAACGTCTAAATCCTCCTCAACAATAATGACATGTTGGGCTGACGGGAACAAGTTGAAAGTGGCTGTGAGTGCTGCCTTGTAGTGTTGAGAGATTCGAGCATTCTTTGTCCCAATGGGCGTGTGCTGAACCCCTCGAAGTCCAAACAGCTGGGTGACTTCCATGGGTTCAGAGAAGTAGCCATCAATAAAAACAGTGATCATGTCAGGCTGGGCCCCTCTCGCTGACAGCAATGAGCGCAACATTCTGTACAGGTAATGAGGCCTGTTGCTGGCAATGATGGCGACAGGGACATTTTTCACCTGATTATTTGGAATCTGGAGAGAAACAGATATAGGAGAACCATATTAAAATTTTTCCCGCAAATTATGCTCATCCCACTTAAATTTTGTTCTATAGTATATAGTAGCTACTTACAGGCTCTGGCTTAAACATAACTGGAGCAGGGTCCTGACAGCTGCAAACGCTGCCGTACCCTTCGATGTGGTTGCAGAACTCTTTCCGCCGCCGGTTCTCCTCGGTCTCAGGCCAGCTGCATTCACTCTCTAGACAAAGGGAAACACAATTAACAACATCAGGTTTCCACATCAGCCGGGTCGCGCACGAGCAGTTCTTTGCTAAAAATTTAAACGTACATGCACCATTTTTTCTGATTTTGCATTAGTTTGTCTTCTTTTCTTTCACTCTTCCTGGGTTCCCCTCCCTGATTTTGCTTTGATTTAACTCTTTTAAGAAACTGATGTCCCCGTCGGTAGGGCCTGGCACTCACCTTCGGCGGAGACGAGCGGGACCTCGACCTGCAGGGAGACGGGCGCGCCCCAGGCCTTGAACTCCTTGCTGGCGCTGTGCGCCTCGCCCAGCAGCCGGCCGCCCGTGGGGCCGCCCGGGCCGGCGCCCTTCTGCGTCACCATGGCCCACATGCCCCTCCAGTTGATGCTGGTGGCGTGCGCAGACCCCAGCCGGCGCAGCAGGTCACGGGCGGGCGCCTTGAGCTGGAACGAGCCCTCGTCCTTGATGGCGAAGATGACGATCCGGCCGGCCGACACCATGTTGAGGAAGAGCACCATGGCGTCGTCCTCGTGCGGCGAGTACGTGTCGAAGACGCGCACGGCCATGACGCTGCCGCTCGCCTGGTGCAGCACCACGACGTGCACGCCGCGGCCGCGGTGAGGCTCCGCGTCCTCCATGATGGTGGCGCCGTCCACCGACACGGACACCTTGGTCTGGCTCGAGACCACCTCGATGACGAGCGACTTGACGGCGTTCTCCTGGAGGCGCAGGCCGCGGACGTGCCGCACCTCGCCGCCGACCAGCTCGGCCGAGTCGGCCGTGTGCAGCGCCTCCTCCTGCAGGCGCCGGCTCGTGTCCAGGATGAACATGATGTTGATGCCGATGGTGAAGAGCAGCACCACGACGAGCAGCACCTGGAACACCTTGGTGAGCGCGCGCCTCCGGCCGAGCGGGAGGCCGACGAGCGCGCCCAGGGGGCGGCCCGGGGGCGCGGCGCGGTCCAGCAGCAGCATGACGGGCTGGTGCGGGCCGGGGGCCAGCCCGGGGGCGGGGTAGGGGGCGGGCAGGCGGTGGGCCGCTGGGGCGCGCCTCGCTGCCCGGTCGCCGCACGACACCCGGCACAAGAGCATCCTATGGCACACGCAGCACGCGCCTGCTCCACCTCATGGCGCTCCTGGGCTCGGCTGCAACAAGAGGGAGGCCGGTCAAATCATTATTAGCTGTATAGCTAAAAGCAATAGCCAATTGGGGGATAACTAATAATTTAGCAAGCTGGCTAACTTTTTTATTGTGACATTTTTTTTTCGCTAGATAGCGAAATTTTTTGCGGCATCAATTTTTAGCTGGATAGCCAACTTTTTTGCGACATGGCTCAATTTCTAGCTACATAGAAAAATAATAAGTTATCCCTTACTTAGCTATTGATTAGCTACATACATATCTCATCTTTCTTTGAAATTTCGTTCGTGTGACGCCGGAGTCCTGCGGCGGGCACTACTCACAGCTGCGGGACGCTCTCCCCGCGCACCTAGCGGACCCCATCACCGGTGCGAGCGTGGACTGGCGCGCCGGGCCGCATCGCCGGCCTGGAACAAAAAGAATTGACGTTGAGAATCGAGCATACAATTTAGTTTTACGACGTCTCAAGTGTGAAGAAAGTCTCTGGTGCTTGCTGCTCCCCGCCCGAGCGCGGGAGAGGCCGGCCGGGTGTAACCAGCTCGGCGCAAATTCTCTCGCAACTGATTTATAGACTCTCCGCCGTATAACCCTGGTTCTAAAACTAAATCGCGCAAACCCCACTCCCCCTCTCCCCCCAGCCCAGCGTAGCGGGCCAAGAGACTGTAGTACATCACGTCGTAAACTACCAGCAGGTGAACGCATTATACGCGTTTTTTTAGCAGCGCCTCCCAGATGCGATGCGCCATAAGTCTCCAATCTCGAGGAGCAGTGGTCTTCACCTGCACCTCGCCCCGCCCCCTCTCCTTCCTTGGACATTACCGCTTGTCCTGATTAGTCCCCCCCCTCCCCTCTCGGGGTCATTTCCTCTGCCGATGGAGGGAAGTACATACAGCCCCGCGGTGCGCTGATTGGAAGCACCCCCCCCCCTCCTCCTCCGTGAAACCTCAGCAGTTCGATGCGGCTCGAGCAGGCACTGAAGGGTTTCTATCAGGCCTTCTGCAGATCGGCTCCCCCTCCACTCCCCCCAGTCCTGCATAGGGCCGTCGTTGAAAATGTTTCCATGGGCAAAGAGGGGGGAGGGGGGGGGGCGGAGCTTTCACCGCGCGGTAGCAGTCAGATAGCGGCCGGGTAGCGACCACACCCAGATAAAAGCGGGGAGCGGTACGGCGGAACGTGGCAGCCCGCCGGGTAGCAACTAGGAATTTTAATTTTCCCAAAACGTATTTTCGCGGTCAATTTTTGATTTTTTTTAAAAATTAATTTATTCTTGAGATGAGAACGATGAGAAACTTGTTTCTTTTTTCCCCAATTTTTCTGGGAATATTTCAATTTGATTTTTTTTCTGGAAACGTCTTGAGTTATAATCCAGAAAAAAAATCGGTCTTCAGAAGCAGCCGAGGTGAGGCTGAAAGGCGAGTCCTGTAATAAGAAGGCCGAGGCGGCTGAAACTGCAGCGGAGCAGGTCCCCCTACCCCACCCCTTTCCGTATCCTCCCTGCACCAGCAGCATGGGTGCGCATAATTTATTCTCTCCTCTAAAAAAATAAATCTTCTTCTTCTCAG